GCTTTGATATGAAAGGATACAGGCTACAGCGCGCTCCGGCGCCTTTGTGCGTGCAATTGAAGAGCACGCGCTGCGAGCACCGTACCGTTTCCGCGCTCGCTTGACTCGCGCCTGGTGCTGAAGTGAAGAGGAGCGCGCGTCTCAAACGTCTCCCGTTCTCGTTCTGCGACTGAATAAATGCACTTCTTGTCAAGAGAAAAAGTGACAGAAGCAGCAGTTGTGAGTGGGGTGGCCAACCCTAGCCCCGCCCCTGCGTTAATTGCATTAAATATTTTTAACGCGTTAAACTGAAAAAATAAGCCTGCGTTAACGCGCTAATTTTGACACCACTAATATATATATATATATATATATAGTTGCCGGGAACAACTCAGGCTCGGACCGCAGCAAACGAGCTCAGTGTGAAAGCCCCTGTAGAGATGAAATTGCCTGGCTTTTGCTGCTAATTATTTATTATATTTACTTTATAAAAAAAATGCTTTCGCTGTGAATTGCTTTAATTTGGAGAATGCTTTAATATGAGCTTATATAAATTCATTAAATTCATTCCTTTCATCTGCATTGATACAGTAGAATTTTGTTCAAACTTTCGTGGCAGCAGTTGCATTTTTTCTGTCTTATAAATGTATTTAAATTAATGCTATTTCCATAACGATCTCTTATAAGATAGTCTAATAATCACATTTTGTGAGTGGATGTTTGCTGCTGATGTCACACTTTCAGATACACACCTTCCAGAGTTAATCATGATAAAACCCCTGGTCATAGACTGACTGACTGACTAACTTAATAAATAAATAAATATATAAATAATTTTAGCATATGGCTACAAAATGTGAAAGAAAAAAAAACAAGTCTGAAAGCTTTCTTAATGCACTATAATAAATATAAGTATATATACCATAATTTAAGATTCAACAGAAATAAACTGTAATGGGTTTGTTTGGCTTTCCGTGTGCTGTAATGGTCCCGCAAATACATAATATGTACTGTAATATGTACTGTACTGCGTGCGTTCATATTCAGTTAACATTAGTTGTTCATTAAACCTATTAATGTGCCTCTAGTCACCTTCTGTAAGTCATACTTTCGTAAGGTTGGTCTGGACCAGTCTTTAGCCTCCTTGTTAGAGCGCCTGCCTCCCACGCTGGAGACCGTGTTTCGAATCCTGCTTGTAGCGAGGCGAAGTAGAACCGGTTACATTTTGGTGCCAGTGACCCAGATGGGAGTGAGGTTTAGGGGGGTGAGTGTAACTGTCGTAGACTAGTAAGAGCTGTGCGTGTAAACCTCACTCCCCTAATCTCAAAAGGCGCTCTAGCGACTGACGCTAGAGGCTGTGGCCTTTATCCTCCTCGTTAGAGCGCACGCCTCCCACACCGGAGACCGCGGTTTGAATCCCGCTCGGAGCGAGGCAAAGTATAACCAGTTACATTAGCTATACCTTATCACTGTTGACAGTTCACAGTTCTTTACATCTCAGTCTATACCAAGGGTGGCGATCGTCGGTCCTGGAGAGCCGCAGCCCTGCAGAGCTTTGCTTCAACCCTAATCAAACACACCTGAACAAGCTAATCAAGGTCTGAAGGGTTACTAGAAAGCTACAGGCAGGTGAGTTTTAATTAGGGTTGGAGCTGAACTCTG